CCCCCCCCCCACAGCCAGAGGGTCCCCAGCCCTGCTCTGGGGGTCCCTGTCCCTGCCCTGGGGACAATGAGGGTCCCTGTCCCCCGGGGGTCCCTTCCCCGTGTCCCTTCCCCGGGGGTCCCTGTCCCGGGGGTCCCAGGGGTCTGTCAGGGGGTCTCACCCTTGTACTTCTTGGCTCTGGGGATGCGCGTGAGCTTCGTGTCCCTGGGGGTCCCTGTGGGGGCGGGTCCCTGTCCCAGGGGGTCCCTCCCCCTGTCCCAGGGGGTCCCTGTCTCTGTCCTGGGGGTTCCCTGTCCCAGGGAGTCCCTGTCCCGGGGGGTCCCTGTCCCTGTCAGGGGGGTCCCGGGGTGTCCCGGGGGTCTCACCCTTGTACTCTTGGTGCTGGGGATGAGCGTGAGCTTCGTGTCCCGGGGGGTCCCTGTTCCTGGGGGTCCCTGTCCCTTGGGGTCCCTACCCCTTCCCCCTGTCCCTTCTCTGGGGGTCCCCACCCTGGGGGATCCCTGTCCCTGTCCCGGGGGGTCCTGGGGGGTCCCGGGGGTCTCACCCTTGTACTTCTTGGCGCTGGGGATGCGCGTGAGCTTCGTGTCCCTGGAGGTCCCTGCCCCTTGGGGTCCCTGCCCCTTCCCCCTGTCCCTTCTCTGGGGGTCCCCACCCTGGGGGTCCCCACCCTGGGGGATCCCTGTCCCTGTCCCGGGGGTCCCGGGGTGTCCCGGGGGTCTCACCCTTGTACTTCTTGGCGCTGGGGATGCGCGTGAGCTTCGTGTCCACCTCGTCCTCCTCCGAGATCTTGAGCACCTGAGTCCGGTACTGAACCACCTTGGTCAGCAGGTCCGGCCGGCGCGAGATCTCAAAGATGTGCTCGATGTACGACAGGTTGGCTGGGAATACATGGATACAGGGATATAGGGATATAGGGATATAGGGATACAGGGATATAGGGATACATGGATCTATGGATACATGGATACATGGATACATGGATCTATGGATATAGGGTCAGCAGGTCCGGCCGGCGCGAGATCTCAAAGATGTGCTCGATGTACGACAGGTTGGCTGGGAATACAGGGATATAGGGATATAGGGATATAGGGATATAGGGATATAGGGATACATGGATACATGGATATAGGGATACATGGATACATGGATACATGGATCTATGGATATAGGGTCAGTAGGTCCGGCCGGCGCGAGATCTCAAAGATGTGCTCGATGTACGACAGGTTGGCTGGGAATACAGGGATATACAGGGATATAGGGATATAGGGATACATGGATACATGGATATAGGGTCAGCAGGTCCGGCTGGCGGGAGATCTCAAAGATGTGCTCGATGTACGACAGGTTGGCTGCGGGATACAGGGATATACAGGGATATACATGGATACAGGGATACAGGGATACAGGGATACAGGGATACAGGGATATAGGGTTATAGGGTTATAGGGATACAGGGATATAGGGATACAGGGATACAGGAATACAGGGATATAGGGTTATAGGGATACAGGGATACAGGGATACAGGGATACAGGAATACAGGGATACAGGGATATAGGGATACAGGGATATAGGGATATAGGGGTA